AGAAAACTGAATTACTTGATCGGAATCAATTTCCCCAAGTAATAAATCCAAATCAACAAATGCTTTGTCGAAATCTTTCTCCAAAGCATCCAGCCAAATTAACATTGGACCAACAACTGACCGTTCATCCAATGTCGTCATTCTGCAACTCATTTCAAATTTACATCTTCCATACAAATGCGAATAAGTTGTAAACGTTATGCGATGCTTTATATCTAAGCATTTTGAAAGCTTCAATTTTCTACTGTTAGAGTGATTATAGTAAACAATACTGAACTATTTTCTAAGGTTAAATCAAGTTCAATTTTATAGCAAACTTTCGAACTCAGAAGGCCATTCACGTGTGAAAGAAAATGCTTTAATTAAAACTTTACAATTTTATTTGTCGAATGAAGCGAAGGAAAAAGAAAATGACTAAGGTATCAAGCTATTAATATAATAAAATATGAAACTGGTAGACTGGCAAAATCTGAATTTTCATATGAATAGAAATTTGGAAGGATCAATTATATGCAAATTATTGCTCATTTCTATGAGACATTTGCATATTAATTTAATTGAACTTTTGATAAGAAAAACAGATATGTTTGAAAAATATTCCAAAAATAAAGATAAAACTGCTGACGTGGTGGATTTTGGATGGGATAATAAGGTGGTGCATTAACTTGCACTCTATTATTACTGATAAAAACAAACTTCAAAAAAAATTGGCGGAAAAGTTCTGTTCCGAATTTTGTTCAGCTTGTTATTGCCATAAGAATGAGATAGACTAACATTAAATTACAAAAGTATCTTGAAATAAAAATGGAAACAATCCGACTGAAACACAAAAGTTAATGAGCCAAAGTTTTCAAGCAGTTGAACAAAACGATTGCTAGTTAAATCTCAATTTATCATTTACCTTTCTCATTCCAAAATTCATTTACAATTGTTTGTTCATAATAGCCAATTATAGTTCTAAAAATTTGAATAATGCAGCAAAAGAAGCAAGATTCGTTTCAATAGCTATCTATTTTCATTGATATATGATTAAATTGTTAATTAAATGTTTCAGAATTATTTTATATATTCTGTTACCAAAACACTATTATTTAGTCTTCCTTTACTCACTTTTTTGTCACCACTTATCGCGACAAATTATGACAATCGAATGACAGCAGTAGTCTCTGAACTTGAATGTTTTTAAGTCTGATCATGGAAAAACTCGAATACTTCTGTTTGAAATTATTTTCCAAAGGTTGCACAAACTCTGCGCTTCAAATTTTAGCACTCATATTCTAAATAATGAAGGTTATTTTCTTGAACCATCCTTGAATCCTTGTAACTAAAAAAAAATTGAATCATCTTTAGCAATTAATTATATGAAGAAAAAAGAAGGCACAAAATACATAAATTTGATGCAATTAATGTTGGAAACATTACGAAATGGTTTCCAAGTTGAATAATATAGAAATGTTAACAAGCCTTGAAGTCCCACGAATACGGAAATTTTTTGTTGAAAATTAAGTGAAAGACAGAGGACCAAACAAGAGTTCGTTTACTTGAAAATTAAAAAAAAAAAGAAAAGAAAATTGTAGTCGTCTTATTTCCAAGAAGTTGTAGAAAAGAAATCACACTGCTTTAGTTGACTATTATTTTTCTTCTTCAAACCATTCAAAAAGACGATAATCCCTGAGGGAATGATAAAATCATTCTTTCTTTTTACATATATATATATGAGTGAAATTTATATACATACAAACATTCTCCTCTAAAATCTTACATTTTTATAAAAAGTGTCCATTGACCTTCACTTCTTCATACTTTTTGTAAAATTAATACTCAGATCACACATAAAAGATGAAGGATAAAGGCTTATCATTTCAAAGCTCTTCCATTTTCTTTCACAAATTAATACCACGCAATTTCCTCCATCTATGCTCAATAAATTTTAACCAAAGATGAATAATCACTCGGAGCCTTTCTTTCTTTATTCAAAATTTAAATTTTCATCAATTTCAAGTCACCAAATAACAAATATCTGAGCTAACATAAATTTGTTAGGCACATTTAATTTCCATTCGTAACTCTCATCAAATAAACGATGCATCTCTTATATCCCATCCCATATTTCCATCTAAAAGCGAATAAAGTTCTTTTACCGTGGATTGTTTTTCTATACAGATGAAGCGAATCATTTCTTCCATTTCCATTTTCCAGTCCTTATTAATAGGCTTTCTAACCATCAAATAGTTAATTTATAATCTTTCCCTTCTTCAGTTTAAGAAGTTTTAGAAGCATTTTGAAATATCTAGCAAAAATTTCGGATGAAACTATATAGGATTTTTGAATGAATCTTCTTTTTCGGATAAAAAATGAATCTTTGTCCAACTTCTTGCATAATTTTTTCTTCAGTCAATAATGTAAATTCTGAAATCAAAAATGAAGAATGACCATCAATATGAATGTCAGCAGAATATCAATTTATTTAACTTTGTATCTGAACTGAAATTCATTATAATTAAATTGCTAATAAAAATCATATAGTAAGATCTACATCAATTATTCAACATCGTTTAATCTCTAAGAAAATATCATTAGTCTTTGACATTCCATTAATCCTTATCTGATAACACTGACATTCTTCATCATACTACTTTGCAATATTATTTGAGATTGATTTACAAATTAATGAATTGTTTGTAGCATAACAAGTGAATAAAGGCTGAAGTAGCAGCTATTTCAAAAAATCACTAAACTTGCTGCCTACATTTTGTTCATCTTTTGAAATGAAACAGATACCAAATTAAAAAGCAATTAAGTGCTGAAGAAAAGAAACATAACATGGAGAAGTAATCCCTTCTACATCCCAACAATTTTATCAACAACAATCGATTTCGTTCCTTTCATTTTCAACAAACTTCTCCTGGGCAAGCTTTTCTTTGCATTCTATCAAAATGACAAAAGCAATGAGATGCAAAAATTAAGAAATGATTTATGTATTTGAAATGAAATTTTCGAAAATACTAATATCATCCACCTAGCCTACTTACTCTACTATTCTTTTAATGCACCCTATAATTAAACTGATTACCTAAATAAGGCTTGAACACAATTTCAATTCCCCATGGATAAGTTCAAAATGGACTTTGCTAAAAAAAATTGTTGCTGTGAATATCTCTTCATAATCTCTATCACGAGATCAAATAATGACAAGAACGAAAAAATAAACATCTCTATGAGCGTTTCCTTATCAGGTTTATCTAAATTAAAAAAGGATGAAGAACTCCTATGGAAAAAGCACAAAAAGCAATAAGTGGGTAACATCAAGGAGAAGAGCAAGTCAGGAATATTATGCAAGATTGATAAACAGTGCTAGTAGTAGGAATGGAACCGTAAGAAAGGAAAATAAACTTTCCTTTATATTATACTAAACGTCAACGTGAAAGACGAACATTACTGGAGAAACTTTGTGACATATTTTTAAGATTGAACCGAACATAATATGGAATCTAGAGACAATTCTGTTCAAACAAATTTTAGTAATGTAATCATGATGCGCACTGGTATCGGATATTAGATATTTATACCAAACAAACGTATCTTCCATCGCAGTATCGAAATCTGTCGCAAGATACGTCCAGACATGCGACTGTCATTGACACTGCCAGTTAAATCTGTCTCAGTCCAGTATCGGCGGTGTAATAACAACATTACATCCTAAGTTATCCAAATCAAAATATATCAGGAAATAGTGAGCCAGTGAAATTGTGAACATATCATTTCCAGGCGGTGTTTACTTCAAATGCATACTTTTTTGCTTCGTTCTAAATTGCATAAATTGTTTGATTACGCGAACTTTTGTTCTATATATGAAGAAGAATGATAATAGCTGCTACTAACAATCAACAAAGTCTTCAGTTCTAACAACAATGGAAGAAAGGAAAAACGGTGCAGTTAAGAAATTTATTTTAAAAGAGGGCGAAGGAGGAGCTGTTTGATACTGGTAATCCCTAAGGGTGATTGCTGCAACTGCTAAGCCTTTATCAACTCCTACTAAAAGCAGCTTTTTTTGATAATCCCATCTAATAAGCCTCTCTCCTCAATACCCTCAACACCCTTTCTTTCACCGCCCCTCACAGTTCAGCACCAAATTTCGTTATCTTCCTATCTTTTCACTCATTGCTTCTCATCATTGCAACTATTGTTTCCTGCCAAAATCAATAAATAGCATAATTAATTGAACTATGTAGCTTTTACAGTGGAAAGCCGCTCACTTTCTCTACTTTCACGGATACAGAACCTTTGTTGGAATGTCTCAACACTGCTGATGGTCTACAAAGTTAAGAGAAATTGAACGATGATACTGAAAATTTAAAAAAAAAAAAAAAACTAATACTGAGCAAATTACTCCAAATTATGCCAAACTTCCCAACCAGAAAATGAAACCTACAGCTTTGATTACAACTTCATACAAGAGTACAGGACTAGGTTGTATTCATCTGCAACTATTCGCTAGCCACAAAAAAAAAAAGAATTTGAAGCATATATCATATTTCATCATTTCATGATATGACGCATAAGAAGCTAAGAATAGAGTATTGTCAGCCATAGAAGTAATTTCTTTCTTCTTCAAAAGAGTATCTAATATACCAAAATATATAATTTATGAAAATTTCCTAGTAAATCCATAAATTTATATTTAACTTTTATCAGCGTAGCATTATCAATATTGCATTTCAATACTCTCCAGTGATCAATCTCTCCCAACGGAGAGCTTTTTCATGAACTCATAGCGCTGAGAGGAGAAATTTGATCAAAACTTTTCCCAACAAAAGTAGCTCTAACAAAAATGAACATTTTAATGGAATATAATGTATAATATGTAAAGGATTTATAGAAATATACGGAGTTGCGGTATATTTCAGATTAGATATTTGAGATGTGAAATATATCAAATAATGTAGAAAATACATTTGCAATTCAAAATGTTGTCATTTCAACAGAGAAAGGATGAGCTGCTTTCAGCATTGTCAATTGCTAATACACTATCAGCGATGATAAATGACAAAAGAATCTATAGGAAAAGCTTTCAGTCATCTAGCACGGCAGAATTCGAATCCACGTAAATTCACGTCAAAGATATTGAAATTTGCCTCCAAAACAAAAAAGAGTTTGAAATGAAAAGAGCGAATGAAAATTCAAGATTATAGCGTCGAAATAAAACATATAACATAGGAAAAGATAAAAGAAGATATTGCTTGATTGCATTTAAAATCTTTCCACAACTGAACTAAGCGAATTTGCACCTAAATCAGATCTTTTGCACTTCATATTGAGCCTACGATCATTTTAAAATAGCTATGGGATCTTCATCAGACTTTAAAATCAATCAGAGACAACCATATTTATGTTCTGCTCCTTTTTGAGGGAACTTAGCAGTTGAAAATATCAGTGCTTTTAAAATATTTAAATCACTGACGATTTCTTGTATTGTGTTCACTGGCACCTCCTTTTACATCATAAAATAGAGAGGCATCAATTTGTTTCATTTATAAATAGATTTTATCCTGAAAATCTTTAAGAAAGATCGAACCTAAATCAAATGTAAAATTTTTAGAACTTTTAATCTGCCACTAATTCCACGCTGATAAAGAGACGAGATAATTTATATATTTTTAGTGCTCCCACAAAAAATTTATCTGCAACAATTATTTATAATCAGAATTTCTGAAATTAAATTCAAGTACTGCTTCTTTGCCGTAAATTTAGCTAGTGCATTTAACCAATTTGAAAGAAAGAGATTAAGAAGAGATTAGTAAAATATCAAATAAAGTTTAACAAATTTGACAACTAACTAAAAAAATTTATAAAGTATCCGTACTTCTTTTAAATAAGCCTAAGCAATGGTAAGGAATGCATTACACAGCAGCCATTATTTTCGTAACCATACATCTTTCTGGGGAACATTTCATAGGGTGCAGCAGATAAGAGATTGAATCAGATCAGACCGAGCAGCCCAAGAAAAGCAGCCAGCAAAAAACATTGTCAATCCATCCATTGCTTCTTTCTATCATTTGCACAATCAGAATACAGAACAATGCCAATCAATCAAATATATCAATAAATCGCCTTTAAATTCTCTACAATTTTAATGTAAAAATGAAATTCTCATTCATTTCAAAGAAATTATTTAGCTTGAACATTTCTCAATTAGAATACTTCCATATTCAAATATTATTCCCACAACATTTACAGTACATATCAGTTTCACAAATTAATTTAAATAGTGTTAAGAAAACTGAAATATGAGATGAATCTCACTAAATCTATAGCAATTGTATTTTATCTTTCTACTACTATTATAATTTGCTTATATTATGTTAATCTTGATAGTGACTATTAATAAAAGTAGTAAAAATGTTCCATAACGGAGCAGAACAGATGAACTTCCATGCACAGTGCAACATCTCATACATTACATTAGATTATGTTGGCTAAAAACAACTTGTATCGAAAAGCCGAAATTAGTATAACTTGACCTAGCCTAGCATATTTAATGCTGACATATCTTTTCTACCTATTTTTGGAAGCGATTACTGAGTTGAAGGTCACCCTCGGTTCACTTTTTAAAGATTCTTTGGTGGTAACTTTAAGGAAAATGGATACCATGGAGCCAAGATCTCTCTAGCTTTCTCCCGTCCAACTTATTTCTTTCATATTGCTAGGACAATGCTTAATTTTAATTTTAAACAAAGAAACTGAAAATGAATTATTCCACTTTTCCTTTTCTATTACTAATTCTCTCTGTTGAACGGATAAGAATATCCAAGACACAAAGTTTGGTGATGAAGTGTGAACCAATTTTACATTTAATAAGTTTAATACATTTCAATGGAAGAGACAAATCAAAGCGCTGTACAACAAATTATAATAAAAATGAGGGACTTAGCTGCACTACACAACCATATATGAACCCAAATGTCAAATGGAGAACATTATACAAGCGATTAAAAACAGAATATTAACAAAGAAGTGGTATCATGCTTCAATCTTCAGCGAAATATTGCAGCAAATGTTAAATCAACAAACAAAATTAGGAATCAGAGCGCTTGGAAACATATTTTGATAATGCTAAAATGTCTGAAAATCACATTACAATGGTCTCGGAAATCTTAAGCATCATCAAATTCCACATTCAGTTTTACAGTTATAAAAGAAACTTCAGCTATAACTGGCAAGAATAAAATGGAAGTTTGAGAAATTGGAGTGGAAATAAAATTCCAACAATATTAATAATAATAGAGCAAATGGTAACAGTGACAGTTGTAATATAAGAGTGGTTACAGCATTAACTTCTGTGGGATTTTACTGACTTATACTTCTTTGATTCCTAGCAAATCTAACAGAATTCGAATTAGTCAGTATGCTAATGCCTTCACATTCCCATCTTCTTTTGAGATACACTTACCACTTTTATTTTGCTGTAACATTATAATTAACTGAAAAACATTCACTGACTATTAATAATAATAACAGCAGAGATAAAACCGATCACAAAAAGTTTAGACGAAAAAGTAAAAGCACGAAATGTTTGACCGCTTTTACAATAAAATTCGATTTTGTTTTTTGTTAAATGTTTGATTCAGATCCAAAAGAGAGCAAAATTTCTCCAATTTTATGGAAATAATTACGTTTCCACTTCAGGAATGAATTTAAGAATTCATGGAAATGAGCATTTTTTGCGAAGATCGCAGTAAACAATATTTGAGTAAAATATACAGAGCAAATAATTCTATAAATTCGTAAAACTGTAAAACGGAAGTTATAAATAAAAAGAATATAATGGCATGAAATGTTCTGACAAATGAAAGAGAATATAATTAAAAAGGATCACAGCAGGAATTAATGGATATACTCCACAATACTCACCCCTTTCAGATCACAAATCACCAAATAAAAATAAGAACACAATTTTTCATTTCTTTCTAGCTCTCTCCCAATATATTCATCGAAGTTCTAAGCCATAAGACCCACGAAAAGTTCGACAATTGCAGTCAGTTAAGAGCCTACGACTGCATACAATTTATAAAAATGACAGTGTATCTCCAAATGAATTTCAACAACAATAAATTAGTAATTAATAATAAAACAGTTTAAAAAAGTAAGAAAATAGCTGCAGTAATATGTAATAATAATAATATCGATTAAATTAGAAACTGAGCATTGAAATACGACTGACTATAATTCATTGATAATCCAGGACGACAAATTTCAAAGTATTAATAGGAAGTAGTTTTTAAAATAATTTAACTAATAGAGTGAAAAAAAAAGTTGGAAAATAATCTTCAGGAATCTCAAGAAGCCTCAAGGAGATTCTTTTCCCGACAAACGGTGTCAAAAATATCGAAAGAATGTAATAACATAAAACACTTGTTTCAGTAATAAATCAGAAAAGAAAAAAGCACTAACCTTTAGAATCAGAAATGTAGGAATCAGTAAAAATGGAGAAGAAATACTTTCCTACAGTGAAAACACAGACAACCATTGCCCAAAGCCATAGCTCGGAATACAAGCACATGAGAATACCAAAATCCTAGTGAAATGCCCATTTCCGACCAAAAATAATCTAAGTAATGAAACGTAGAAAAAAAAAAAAAAATAAAATGAAGTAATGGAGTGTCCTTCAAAATGATCCTGTATGACCACGTAGTGCACTTCCAATAATAAATACCCTTAGTACGAAAAAAAACTTCAGAAATGAAGATTTTTCTCCAAGAATGTGAAAAGCAATTCCAACCAAATACGTCACAAAAGATAAAAGTCAGGGTTTGATCCTAGAAACTTTCCAAGAAATATCAGTATTTATTTAACTACGATATGAAATTCCATATCTTATAAAATCAAATAAAAGCTCTAGGAAATCTAAAAGTGAAGTTGAATATTACACATTGGATTAACATCCTATGAAAGTTAATTTTTATGATGTTTTTAATCACAGTAGCTCAACCAAACCATATCCACTCGTTTACCAAACTCGTAAATTATCCACTATACTTATCTCTCCATTTTGGAAAAGAAGTGTTTGAGCTGGTGGAGACCAACGTGAGATTTCCCAAACAGATGTAGACTGAAATACCATTGATCTCGGAATATTTGAAATTTACATCTCCCCAAGAACAATAAATAAAAGGTATTAAAAAAATAAAAGATATTTTAACTCACTTCTCCCCACGTTTGATATTTATTAATCAGTTCTCGTAACGACTGTACAAGATCGCGGTTCGCAAATTCCACCATGTTTGAACTATGTTATAGAAAAAGACATTTTTAATTGAAAATTTACAAAAAGGAAATACTACTTTTCTTCTTTGAAAGGATTCAGAACAAGGAAAAGAAAAATGTACTTTTTTGGATCAAGAAGCTCGCAGTCCTTAATTCTTTGACAAATGACCCTGTTTAAATGTTCATCGAATAATGGCACGCCAAAAACACAGTCAAGCAATGTGTAATCAGCATATGTTTCATCGTCTCGCAAATGAACTCGTAGACTCGCAATTTTCCTACGAAATTCATAAATTTTTGATACTAGTCTCTTGGTGTCAGTCTTTCATACCTGATGCAATATGGACATTTCGGTATTACAATTATGTCCTCTACAGAACATTAGCAATTATACAATTACAACAGTAGAATATGAGAAAAAGGAAAAAAAAAAAAGACTTATTTCAACTTTTACAAATGCTTGGAAATTGATAACAAAACGAATAAAATACCCAGAAACGAGCACTAGTAACAATAATTTTCTACAAAAATCAAAGTAAGACCTTGGATCTTTGCTGACCGTTGTAGTACCACCTTTCTTATTCTTCGACTGTACTTCCCACTCAATAGTTTTCTTTTTGCACAGCAGTGTTAAATAACCACACAGCGAATTTAGCCCCAATTTTTCTCGAAGTTTCAGCACCGAAGGATGTAATGAAAAATGACCTGCAATAAAAAAACAAGAAATTTAAAAGGAAGGACCGGAAAAGAACTAATAACTAAAATGAAGACTGAACATAAAGCAAATAAGTGATAAAAAGATGATATTGTCGAGATATATTAGATAACTTGTTAGCTTTATTTG